AAAAGAAACTTTATGAGCATTTAAATTATTTTCTTTGATCCGTAAAATTTAAGGATACATGAGATATTTATATAATAATTATATAATAATTTTTAAATTTCTTTCCTTAATGTAGGAATCTTTTCATACTTGAAATTTTAATTTTCCATGAGCCAAAAAAAAAAAAAAAATCCACCCCCAAATATTTGCGACATTTTGCTAAAGAACTCTAAAAAAACTTTAACCAAATCAACTTAACAAGAAATAGACAGTATGTCATCTTGTGATAAAACAAAAGAAAGCAAAGTCTTAATTAGAAGACTGAAATTTTTGGGCTGCATGAGTATTAAGATTAAGTATAAAAATTATTATGGTAATGAGAAAGAAGAACAGCAGATGATGAGAAGCAAACTTTTTTCTTTCACCATAAGCACTATCTACCCTCACTAAAAACAGTAATACAAACATCATAAAAAATTCACACACTTTATGAGACCCAACTTGATTCATAAGCTAAAATCAGTTCCATGAGACCCAATTATCATTTGAAAGTCAGCTCATAGTAAAGCAATCTCATTTACTAATTAATAAGGTGTGGTGCAATCAAAAAGTCTTGTATTGCATTCTGGTAGGTTACCCCACTATGTTGCAGATCCATTCATGGTGGGTAAGAAAGATAAAAGAGATGAAAGCCTGTTATATATAAAAGCTAGCTCTCTGACTAGATGAGGCAATCATATATATATAATACATATAAGGGAGGAAAACAAGAGTTTAAAGGATTACTGCGTGCAATCCTGTTCTTCATCTTCATGCATGCAGAATCTAAGAAAAGTTTGCAGGAAGAGGTAATCATATAGGAAAAACAAGAGGACTTTGAAGGTTGCACCACATGATGGCTATCCATTTCCATGCAGGCAAAGTCAGAAAAGTTTCTGGAGGAACATGAGAACTTTTCAGGCATACCAAACCTTTTTCTTTTACTCTTTTGTTTAACACATCTCGACATTTTGCATGTTGCCATGCTTCTTCTCACTTTGTACAGTAACTCCCCGTGTACAATTTTACTTGTGGAACTCTCTTTATCTTATATACAGTGTACTGCTAACGTGGATTTGATGTACCCATGGCCACTTGGTTGGATTCGTAGGAACCGCGGGAAACTCAGACAAACATCTCTTGCAAGATCAGAATTAAGTCAATGAAGTGGAGTAGGTGTTCAACCACTTCAAGAACACGAGGCACAACTATGCCACAATCCCACGTGGGTGTGCTAAATCTCTGTTTGGTGCTGTGTTCTTCTCTGTCTTAGTGGTGGTGGTGGTGGTGGTGGTGGGGAGAGGATCATTGTTCTCCATGTTGGTGGCTAGGTTTGACTTTAGAAAGCTTGAGGAGCTGAGACAGAGAGCATGATTTTGATGATAAAGGCACGTTCTTCTCAACATTACTGGTGATGACATATGATATGCGGATAAAAAGATGGATGCCACACTGAAAAGCAAAGTGGAGAAAAAACCATTCATCCACCCCGATAAGGATTCAGCTTGAACTTTCACAAACATAGATTTCATCTGGTAAAGAGTTAATAACTTTCACAAAACAAAGACATGAGATTTAATTACGCAATTTAAGACATGTTTCGATCTTTTTTTTTGTACATGATATTAATTCTCTCAGAAAAGAAGTTTCAGTATAGAAGTTAGCGACAAGAGTTCCTCAATGTAGATTCTTCCACTAAATTATGATTTGGAAGCCTTAAAGATTATGTGATAACGCAGAACACAAAAGCTTATGCATGACATTTACATGCACAGTTCAAACCATTGTTTACGGTACACAGCATTGCAGGATCGTCAGCTTTACTCATCCAATGCAAAAGATTCCTTAAAAGTAATCCAATATGATTAAGAGAATGAATAGTTGAATCACTTGTGGACTGACTTGGGATTCTAGTTCTATAAATGTGTATACATTCAGATTCTATGAATGAGTAATTTATTCTCATTTTTCTGCAGATAATTAGCCTCATTGGTGCAAAAGTCTAAAGGCTTTGTGAAAGATAATAAATCTTTCGCCCTCAAGAGTTGATCGTTGCTGCTGTGATTGCTATTGCTTTGAGAGCATGGACGTTGGTCACTGGCCGAAGACAAGGGAGAAACTTTATTGAAGAAGTGAAAAAAGCTTAAATACATTAACATGTCCCTCTCATATTTATACAGATTAGAAGGAAGACACTCTCCTATTTATATAATTTTCCTTAACATAATAGAGAATTTTTTTCATGAGAGATTTCCTCGTATAGTTGGAGAAATCTTATCTTCTATTATTAATCTTATCAAAAGTGAAACCAATGTGGGCATGCGTGCTATATCTAAGTGTACTGCAGGTGCAACATGAGATCCAAAGTAGTCAAAGCCTGGGAGGATCAATCATTGTGGCACAAATCTGAAGACCCTTTCGCTATGCATGATGATCTCCCTAGTGCCGTGGTTGGACCCATCTGAAAAGATGATGATGATGATGATACAGTATAGTATAATTCATCCATCGGATCTGTGACCACATGCAGCGAATGGATCCTCCCTTCCATCCTTAGTCAATGTATTAGGAACTTAGAACTCGAGTTTTAGTCATTGAAGGTGTAAGTGCTTGATGTAGTGTGAGGACTTGTGCAAAGATGGATGGAGGCTTGCTTAAAGGAGGAAATCATAATGATCCAATCATATTTCTTCCCTCAACTTCATAAAGTTTCTTCTCAAGCGTTCGTCCGATGACGTTCGATGCGAGTCAGCATCTGGCTCATTTATTTTCTCTCTTCCTAATTTTGTTTGAGATTACTATTCCATGATCCATGATAGAGAAGGAAGTGTTGTTCGAGTTCTGATGGTCCAAGCAACTTTTGGAGCTCTAATGGCTTTCGTGTCCCACCAGCACAGAAAATAGCACCCACTAAGGTCTGCATATTCCCATGCACTTATACTGGAGGGGAGATCAACAACTGTCTTCTGATGAAGATTCCAAGGGCTGCTGAAAATTTGGCAAAGCTTTAGGTGATAGAGAAGAAAGAGGGGGGAACATTGAAAAGCTTCACCATGCTTTATGGCCTGCTTTTTATGACTTGCTAAGGGACTTGTAAACAGAGCAAGAGCACACACAGGAGAGGAGAGTGAGACATGAGATGCCAAATAATTCTCCCAGAAGAGGATGTCTCTGTCGTGAATTGTGTCTCCCATAGGAAAAGTTTCAGCTGTTGTTTCTTATTGGATACGACTTCTTTACTCGGGTTCCATCTTATATGGATGTGCCTCTTCTTCTCTCTCTCTCTCTCTCTCTCTCAGCCAAGTTAATTAAAATAAATGTTTCCAGGACCAAAGGAAAAAAGATTCACATGGAATTCCAATCAGCTTTTAGAATGCAAGTCCTCTTTTGGACTAAAAGATGAACATTGCAGGCTTGGAACAACTCACTTTGCTTGTTTTTTCAAAAGTGGGGTGGAATTGAGGAAGACAACTGTACAAGAGCAACAGGATTGAACTTCTTTGATCCATAAATCATTGACATGAATAACAAATGGGGAAGTATAGTTTTTTTTCTTTCTGGAGATGATGGAAACAATAGTCAAATTGTCACATTCCTTAGGCTTCTAAGGCCAGTCTAGCTGGAAGTGGAGTAGGCAAAGAAGAACAAGAACAGAAAGGCATTCTAGTCTCACAAGTTGCTTGTGTGTGCAGCGTACAGATTGGATTTGAACAAATCTTGTGCACCTCTGAATACTTGAATTTTCCAGTAAATGCTGTTGGATTAAACCAGAGAATCTCATGGGCTTATAGAGACTCTTCTTTGTGATGATGGTAGCCCAAAGGGCCAATTGGAGCTCAAAGTTAAACTAGAGGTGCTCTATTATCTTTAGCTCTATTCATATTACTTAACACAAAACGTTGAACTTAGATTATGTTTTTTTATTTTGTATTTGTTGTTTAAGATTGTGTATCTTAATTTAAGATTGCTTCTCCATAATCTGAATGTAACAGGTTTTTTCTTTTATTTATAGCGGAAGGCATTCTTAAGAACGCAAATATTCCGACGAACTTTAGAACTCTCAACGAAATCTCGTTCTTGACTTCGGGACTTCATTTTATTTTATGCCTTGATCTCTATCGTAGTTAATCTTGCACACTTAAAATCTATTTCGATCTAGACAATTATTATAAGGATCAAATGTTATCCGATATGTCATTGGTTCATCGACGCTTCGTCCGATTCTTTGGCGCATCGTTCTCTCTTGCGGCCTATTGTCCAATCGGCCTGTTGACCTCTGCAACTCCGATATCCTTGGCGTAATTTTCGCTCTTCTTGGCCCGATACCCGAACCCATGGCCCGAAGCCTTCTGTCGATACGTCGATCGATCCTCCGGCTCGACGTCCAATCTTCTGACATGTTTCATTCCTGCCCAACATGATTTCTCCTGTCTTAATTATCTCTCCTTGATCGAAGAAATAAACATTATCAATTGGTTTCATCATCAAAATCCGAGATTCAACCATTCATAAGAATATAAATATTGTATTATCTTTGAAGAGACATTTGAAGATGCAGAATGCTTGACATGTAGTGGAACGAGTAATATTAGAAAAAAAAAAATATCTTGCACATGTTTACTATAAAATTATCCTTCTAAACTTCAAGTTGAATTTAATATTTAAATACTTAAAAGAAGTGCTTAAAATCTTGTTCTCCATGTGAAAGTGAAAATGTCAACTACCTTAACCGATAAAAAGAAATTGATTATTCCGGGATCAAATCTTGTCTTCACCAACTTATCTTTTGCAAAACATACTATAATATAATTCGTTCATCAACTACGGTGGAAGTGTTGCATCCCACTGTTGACTTGGATGATTAAGCCCTTGCAGTACCAACCTTCCCCGCATACAAAGCAAGATAAAACCAAAAAACAGCGTAACCTCTAAGCATTCACAATAAATTCTCTTCCTTTTAATTAAATCAATCGCCCAAGTCGTAAAAGCATACACAGAAGGTGAACCTTGTTATGAAATGAAGTCACATACACCTGTGTAAGTCTTTGTGCTTGAATATGAGGCACAAACATATATGGGTCTTTTAATTCAACTAACTGCTAATGACTCCTGACATTCATGTAGAAATCCTGGAACACCAGGCAGAGATGCATCCATCATTGCAAACTCCTAATGCGGTCGGAAAGCTCATGATCTTTCTAGCAGCTGTTGGCTCTCTTTCTGTGAAGAAAAGAATTGAGTCACCAGAAGGGGAAGAACATGTGCACTGTCTCCTCTATGGTGAAATAATTGAGCACTATGTCTTCCACTTTCTTCTGGTCTTGCTTCACTAGCATATGTCTGCATTTGCACCTGGTATGCTTCTTCCTGTTGTTCCCACAATTCTGAATTCTGAGAGGCAGACACAAACAGAATCTGTTTTCAGCACCATCTACATTGGGTGTCAAAATCAGAGTTCTAAAAAAATTCCTGATGAGATATCACTTGCTTATAGCTTGATAAGTTTTTTGATCTATCAGCCATCGAACTTTTCAAAAAAAAAAAAATTCAAACACATACTGATTTTATGCCTTTCCATATATACGGCACCAAAGATATATTTTTTTCTTCCTTCAAAGATACATGACTTTCTTGGTTCAATAAATAATTTTTTTTCACTTTTGCAGAATGGATGTTAAACATAAAGCCTCAAATAGAAGCATTTGAATATAATATGAGAAGACTAGAATTGATAGTCCTAATGCAGAGTGAAACAGGTGTAGTAACTAAAAAATGAAAAAACTTGCTTTGTTTGATATAGCATGAACTTATGCATCCCACAATGAGACATTATATTGTGAAAGGAGAGCCAAGAGATAACTTTATGCCCTTGTTGAGACAAAATTTTCCAATTTTCTCCTTTTGAAATGATTTGAAGCATTTGGTCTAAGGACTCTTCTTCTCCTTTATTCATTATGCAAACAAACTACAGTGCAGTTTACAGTAGAGTGGCCCCATGCAAGAATTTCATTATGGAAAGTTCCAAGTCAAAATGCCATAAAAAAGACATTCACTGAACTCACCAGCGCATGTTAATATTTCTTTAGCAAGAAGTAAAATGTATACTGTCTAGTCCAAAGAAATTATTCAAAAAGAAATTGATTGCAAACAATAAGCAAGGGTATGTGTGGTGCGCGCACAGGCATGTTGATACTTATGGTGCTAAATTTTTATAACAATGACTCTATATAGAAAGCATTAAAGTAAAACCAAATCCTGTGCATGAAATAGCATTTGTGTGTTTATCAGGTTGTCCACCAAGGGGGAATATTAGTGATTGTTATACAGATGTGACTTATGCCAAAGCCGTGTCCAACCAAGTCCAAATCCAAAATAGAACTATCGTTCTCAATTCTCCACATCTCAGGATCTCAGTGGCTTTGGGACTTGTGGCTTCAATTATGATTGTCCCTTTAACTGTTTTAGCAACAGCCAATGAAGTGTCATTTGATGGAACTCTGGGAACCAGTACATACACTAGGATGGAATGATGGAGGAAAAGAAGAAACATTCATGGTAGGAGTAAAAAGCTTAGAATGTGGCTTTCTCTTTTTCTAAGTTGTTTTGTGGACACTGGACAGCAAGGGTCTTGGTGGAGGTCTTACCTGAGGTAGTGACCACAAAGAGTGCAGCCTGTCACAGTAGCTTGGAGGTGCAGAATCAATGGGCCCTTCGGAAGATTTGATGGTCCAGACAATACATATGGTTGATTCAGCAAGCTGCAGCTGAAGATGCTGATCCTTTTCTGATGTGAAGAGTGGAGCACTCACTTGTCTTCACTTTCCCACTGTAGAAGGGATACAAAAGGTTCTCATTAGATGAGCAAGATCAATAAATAATTAAAAAAAATCAATAAAACAAAGACAAAATAAAAGTCAATTCAGGTACAGCCAGGTATCAGAAAAGAAAACCCATCAAAAAACAAGCTTCCAAAGGCAGAACCAGCAGCAAGAACCAAAGCAGGATCAGTCGCCTTCATTAGCCACCAGAAGAGAATCCAACTACAGAACAACTAATCTTTTGCCAAAAGTTTTTCATTCTTATCTGCAGCAGCATCTATCCAAGATGAATAATATGATTTAATCATTTACCTGAGAAACAGACACCTGATGAGTGGACTTTCTGCAACTTCATATATGTAATCCAACTTAAGTAGCAGTAACCTTATCAAGCATCCATTACCTCCTTAATTCTCTTCTAATGCAACTTTGAACCATTTGATGACTGATGCAGGATTCAACTGAACATAAAATCTTTCAAGAAACTTGTATAATTGATTGGCTGCATCTTGTAAGCAAATGATTCACAATAGCATTCATTCCATAGAAGCAGCACATGAGATCTCATGCCTTACCCCTCTTAACCAAACCATCCTTCATTCATTCTATACATTAATAGCCAATCATCAAAAATCCTCTGCACAACATTTCTAAACATGACCACAACAGAAGAACTTTAAACCACCAAAATGAAGAATGTAATAACAAAATTTAAGCATAAAGTAAATGCTTTCCCACCTCCATAATTTTTTGTCCTCCACTTGAGGTCTATAATTAAATGTATATCATCCAACTGGCATTTAAGTTTGCAGAGCTTCTTGTTGAGCCAAAATCAAAGGCCTCCTGATTCTAATGATGCATCTGTGACCACACTGTTTATCCACCACATTGGAATTTTAGTTTCTTGCAATGAGAAGAGAATAGGAAAACAATATTATGCCTAAGAAAGTATTCCTTCCTTCTCTTATACCAGTTTTGAGTCCAAACTTTAAGACAACTCCCACTATCAAGGAAGCAAAATTAATTGTTCAGCTATAAGGAAATAATTCTAAAATTTCAAAGTAAGATAATTTTTTCTTGTTTTCTTCTTTTATGGAGAAATATATAGAGCTGAGTATGAAAGGCAGACCATGTCATGTTGAGTTTGACGATAGTATTAGAGATAGCCCCCGAAGTGAATGTTTGGTGAGGCCCAAGTATCTAAGCAAGCGATTGTAACATGACCACCACATGCTCTCACATTGCAGCAAATTTGGTAAGAATTAAATGAAACAATACTATGGGCAAAAGAAGTCAGAGGCTTTTGGTCTATTTCAATATCTAGATAGGGTTAGATATCTATATTTGTATCAGAATTTTGCTATCTGGAACGTTCTTAACCCAGATATGGTGCACTTGCTTTCTTTATCTGGATATCCAATGCATTACATCTGAAAGTCAAGTTTACATATAATAATATATAGAAATGAAATTAGTTGCTCAATCGTTCTATCTCGGCACATTTACTTTTTCTCTTTTTATCTTCCGTTTTACATATAGCTGCATAAGTTAGCACCCATGAAAGACCCATAACTCAGTTTGAATACAGTAATAAAAAGTGGATATGAATAAGTTTTCTCCAATCAATCCATATCTGATCCATCTTCAACCCTGAAGGAAACAAATAAATATAGCATGATTATGATGCAGCAAACATTGACAACGATGCCCTAAGAAACAATCCTGCCTATTAGATGAGAACTGAGTACTATGGGCTGATCCTTTTAATCATGGAGCAAACAGGCTTTAAGCCCAAAAGTTAATATACCTACAGAGGAAACCTTACTATGGGTGCATGCAGCTGGATTTGGTTTGATTTAAAGGCAAACTTCCAAATCAAAGAAAACTTATTTTATTCCCAGAATATGAAAACAAACTGAACTAAACAACATTTTTAGAGAAGTTTACAAATTAAAATAATAGGAAAGACATAACTGAGCTGAAGCTGTTCAAATCAGTTGATCTCTTTCAGGTCCGTATCCAGTTGTACCAAGGTACGATTTGGTTGAGGCAGCTAAACTGCATTTGGAGGTTAAATATGTGGAAATGAGTTACAAAGAACTAGAATACCCAATCAACGTACTTTTAACCCATAAACCCAAGCGAAAATAGCCCATTTAAAGTTGTGAATTAATATAAAGTCTCATTCATCCCATTTATTGTCCCCGATAACCCATTTTCTCACCAGGTGCTAAACATTAGAAAAAGAGTCTAGTGTTTCTAAGGCTAGACTCATCCACCTTCTAGGAGAGCCAATAGGTTTTGACACTTACATAAACCAAATAGCGTTCTTCAATCCATTTGTGTTCTCCACAACTCAAATGTGCTTGTTCGCACACAGAAGATCAATGTCCCTTGCTGTGGGAGAAGTAACTACTTCAGCAAAAGCCAGTGCAGTGGCTACCAACCACCGTCATCAGACATGTTGGGATTCGGCATTGGATTTCTTAATTTGGCACCATCTTAGAGGTGTCAAGCACCTTAATATCACTACAAGAATATGTGGACAAAGAAGATGATGATGCTTGGAAGCCTAATTGGAAAATGAGGACAATATTTGTGTATGATTTCTCGAACCATGTGCCCTAAATAGTGCAGGTTGTTTGTGAGATTGTGGTCATGGCAAGTCCAACGCTGAAGAAATGCTTCCTGAAATTACAAGATAGTTTACAAGTTTTAAGATTGTGAACAAGTTAAGGCTCCTTTAGGCTTCTTCTAGTCACATGCTTTCATAAGAAAAAAAGAACTTTTTCTTTTCATTTGTTCCAAACAAAAAAAAAAAAATCGTTGCACATAATAATGGACAGAATTAGTCACTGTAGAAGACCAACCAAAACATCATAACATGATTATAAGTTTCAAAGAACTTTGAAAAGTTTCAAGCATGTCTTATTATACAGAAAATAAACTATAAACAACATCAGTATCAGGCCTTTGTCATGTGTTTCAATTAAGTTTCAAAAACCAATGCCATATCATGCAGCAATTACTAGAACAGGGTCTAAGAGCAAATGATTAGTGTTTGCATCATAGCTTAATGACTTGGGGTGAAGCAACCTGTTCTATTGTAGTGATTTTGATCAATAAAAACTTTGGAAGCACAAAATTTTTGCTTCAAAGATCTGAAGAACATAGAGATCAATTTTCTAACAATGAAAATATTAAAACATTAGGAAACGGCATGACCTGCATGAGGCTCCTGAAAGTAAGGGTCCACAAGAGGCGATCGATGCAATCTCATCCTAGAAAATCACCATCGAGAATTTGTATCTCAATTTCTCAATTTTTATTATCAACTAGAAGAAGAATGAGACTGAGCAAGGCTTAAACTCTCTTTATGCACAAAAAAAAATCTCTTCATTGACAATTAAGAATTTAGAAGAATATGATTTAGAGCATCATCTTACATGCAGGAGTATAGATTCTAATTGTTAGCAGTTCTACACCATCGTCGAAGCATAAAAATTGTATTTCATACCTACAAGAACATAAGAAGATAAGCTACTAGCACAAATGTAAAGTCATACAATAAAACCATTATTTAAATGCAAGGAAAAATTCATAGAAAATGGTTTTCCACTGAGAAACCCTTTCAGATGTTTGGTTAGAAATAAAACCCAAACAAAAATCTAAAAAACTCTTATCAACATTTCTGCGAGAATTATCTTTTTTTATTTTTAGATATATTTTAATTCCAGAAAAAGAAAAGAAAACGCTTTCTTATCCACATTTCTGCGACATTTGACATTCCGAGGATCCAAGAAAACCCTTTCTTGACAACCCAAAAGAACCCAACATTTCTTGAAAAAGATGAATCTTCACACAACTGCAACGCGTTTCACCGAGCTCCGAGTTCGAAGTGCATCTCAGAACATCCCGTAATGACTAACAGCAGAAAACGACTCTTTCCAACCGAACGGTTATTTGACATGTCAAGAAAACTCTTTCCTGAGAACACCCAGAATAATCTTAAAAGCGATGAGTTGCTCCACCTCATCTCAAAGCATTCTGAGAAGATCAACAATCGACTCTTCAAGAGATGCTTTCGGAAAATACGAAACGCAAGGAATCAGAGCAGCAACCTCACCGTTGCTCCGGGGCCCCATTGGAACGGCCGCGATCGGCGGGCAGCACGGCATCATCCGCGTCCAGGCGCAGTTCCCCTCCGCCACCTAAACAACAACCCTCTAACGTTCGAACGTTAGGGTTTCGGCCACCAAAGAGATGATCGCGTGTCGGAGAGTTAAGTGAGAGGGCCACGTGTCGCGATGCGAGAAAACGATAGGCGCACTGGAAGTTTACGTATGTTCAACGGCTTTATGAAATCTTCTTTAAGCATGCGGATCGAATTTTCGGATCGGGTTTTACCGGGTAACACATAAATCTAACTTGTCTACTCGTTATATGTGTTTTGAAACGGGTACGGGTACAAAAATAAATATCCATTAGTAGAGAAGATTTATAAGACACTAAAAATTGAAGAAGAGGGACTACATAAAAAGATAAAATAAAGGTGCACACAGCCTTCTCCACCGTTGGTTTTCTATTCGCAAATCTTAAAGTACAAAATTCACCATTGGTTTCATACCTTGATGTTGATCTAAATCTAATGGTTTGATGCATGCTCAAGCTTCATTGAGAGGGCGGTCTTTTTAAGCATTCCATTTTGTGATCACGGTCTAGCGTCAATGGCACCCACCAATCCGACCAATGAGAAGGCTTTGTTTCCTGGACGATGATTGTGTAAGGACAGCTGGAGCCGAACTCAGGAAATGACGACCCCAATCTCGAATCTCGACGGAGCTCGGCGGGCGTTTTGTCCGCGTTTGAATAGACACGTAGGTGCGCCAACGAGAGGCGGTGGAGACCCCCACAACTCCGAGGCCTACCATGGGCGACCAATCACCGCAGCGGGCGGCGCGAGGCAAAGACGACGGCTCCCACGAGATCTTTCCTCCGTGCTACGTGGGTCTAGAAGCTTCCCTGCGAAGACGATATCCCGGGCCCCACGCCGTTAGTCTAGAAACTTCCATTCACCCCCTTATTTTATTTTCAGTCCCCTCTTATAACCCCTTCCTTTCGGCTTCCACCGACGTCGACGACGAAGAAAATATCTCTCACCGCTCGCCGAACCACCGAGCTGTAACGCAGCGCGTTTTAGTAAGTGTTGAGCTCACACTGTCCCGCCGACATCTTATCCTTTCCTCTTCCTCTGCCAGTCAGTAAGATTGCGTCTTACCGTGTTTGATCCGCTGTTCCCTGAACATAGTGAACATATATTTGCAGGCGAGTCCATATCTTGCTCTCGTCCCTTTTCTTGATCCCGCGCCTCCTTTTCCTATTTTCGTTCTATTGCGACGGTTGGTTTGCCTAATTGCTTTAACACCCGAGAAGAATCAACTGTTGGCTCTTGAATTTTGTTTCGTAGCCACTCCTATGCATTGGTAAATTTTCATTTGTTTTTGTCGATTACTTTGCATTTCTTGAATCAAAGTCTCATCTTGCTCTGCTTGATTTGTCCATATCTTGCTATCTTTGATCCGGTCAAGAAGTTTTATCTTTGTTGATCTTTAATTTTAGTTTCCATGTTTTTCTTTGGAGATTGTTGTATTTGGTGGATGCCTTACCAAAGCTCTCGCTCTAATTTGAAGTAGGTCTTGGTTTCAATCATGGATCCACTTCTCGATATACTGAACGAGGAGTACCTGGAAGCGAGTTCCTTTTACACACAAGTTCCTCCAGTGGAGCCTCCTCGGCCCATGAAGGGATTGCACGAAGTTGGGCCGCCGCCTTTCCTTTCGAAGACGTTCGACATGGTGGACGACCCGTTAACCGATCAGGTGGTCTCGTGGAGCCTCACGAGTAATAGCTTCGTGGTCTGGGATCCCCACGCCTTTGCTATGACTCTGCTGCCACGATACTTCAAGCACAGAAATTTCTCCAGCTTCGTGAGGCAGCTCAACACATATGTAAGTGTTTGACGTAATGCCTGTATGGATTTTCATATGATTCTGTTTAGTTCTTTGCATGTGGAAAGAGGACGAAGTTGGAATTTATTTTTTCCTTTATCTTCCTTAGGATTTAGGTGCAAATGACTTCTTTTTGCATCTCAGTATTTCTTGTGTGCACAAGGTATATTTATATTCAAAGCGGATTATAATTTGTCATAAAACTTAAGAATTTGGAAGATTGCAACGATTTTGGAGTTTGTTTTGTGGCTTTCGTTGATTTTGATTTGTTCATCATTAGACTGGACAATGGGTTGGAATTTGACTCTTTGATTTACAGTTTTTTCCCTATATTATCTAAAGTTGTTGCATTAACATTCTTTTCAATTGTTGAAATATATACATCAAGCATGTTCTAGTTGATCTTATTGACAGCCTTTGGCACCAGGTTGCCAGGGACTTAGATCATTGAGATTAAATGCATCAAGAAGTTTTGTGTTGATTTGTTTTGATTTTTTTTTTTTCGTTCTGGATGAGAGCATAGAGAAGTTTTGAAAATCCAATCAGCCAACACTTTGATATAGTTTGATTGTATAAATAATTTGTAGATAACTGTCAATTTTGAATCATAAAATAGTCATCGTTGGCAGTAAAATTGGTCACTAAGTTGAGACACCAATTTATTAAAACCATATAGAAACAACAAATGATTCTTCTTGCCTATTAAGTTTCTCTTTGGCATTAAAATTGGATTCCTGTCAGATGGAAGTAATTTAAAGTCTCATCTTACCTTCCTCATATGTTGGCTATTTAGATGAGGGAGTGATTCATACGGAGTAGGTCATTCTGTTTCATTCATATTGTCATGCTTCAGTAGGTTTAATATCCGGATTTTGAAGAGTTCTAGCATTTAAATACTAGCAATAAAGTTTTCGCATAGGTTTCTGTAGTCACAGTACATCAACTCTCACATTATACTCGGTTACTTTTTTTTTCTGGCAACAATTAGCAAAAACTACACTGGTTATTATTCTCTATCTTTGCACCTTTATGATGCTATTATGGGTGTCTTTTTTATTTCTTTGTAATGGAATGTGCTTTCAGTGTTAAGTTGATAAAAACTGAAATATGTTGAGCCCAACTGAGTGATTTTTGCATCATCTTTTATTCTGACATGCACTAAATTCTCGGAACCATTTAGAACTGGAGCAGATGCTAAAATGGCAGATCACTTCTTCTTGCAAATCAACTCACTGATGCAGAAGAACTAAGTGCCTTATATCCTTCTTTGTTATCAATGATCATTGAAATGGTTAGAATTCCTTATACAATAATTTTTAATTTAATATAAGATAGAACAGATTTACCGATAACTATTATCTGTTATATTAATAGTAGAAGGCCAGGGAGAAGAAACAATATAAAGAAACAGAAAGATTATGTATGTTGAAATTTCTCTTGCTGTAAAAGTTCTTTTAGAGGTAAAATTGTTAGCATACACATATTCGTTGTCCTGCCATTGTATTCTTTCATCTTTTTTATGTTTATTAACCTGCACCAAATTTTTGTTTTTAGAGGATGGATTGGAAGACTATCATGCTTGAGGCTTCTCATCAACCATCATTTCACTACTGGAACTTCTGTAATATGATAGGCTTCAAGTCTCTCAAATTCAAAAGAATTTGCCAGATTGCTTCATTTGATAGTCTGTTTTTTCCTACTTGTTTTATCACTTGCTTTCAAGTCCAGCTACTAAGTCTTGGTTTCCTCAGGGTTTTAGGAAGGTGGACGCAGATAGATGGGAATTTGCAAATGAAGGATTTCTTAGAGGACAGAAGCATCTCCTCAAGACCGTCAAAAGAAGGAAACCACCTTCTTATCCTCCTCCAAGGCAGCAATCCACAGGGCCATTCCTTGAAGTTGGGCATTTCGGGCTAGATGGAGAGATTAACAGGTTAAAGCGGGACAAGAACATTCTGATGGCAGAGGTGGTAAAGTTAAGGCAGGAACAGCAGAACACTAGAGGTGAGCTTCAAGCCATGGAAGAAAGGTTACAATGCACGGAACAAAGACAGCAACAGATGATGAACTTCTTGGCACGTGCTCTACAAAGCCCTGACTTCTTTCAGCAACTGGTTCAGCATCAAGGGAAAAGAAAAGAGCTCGAGGAAGCCATTTCAAAGAAAAGGAGACGACCTATAGAAGCAGGGCCCTACCATGGTGAAGGGGAGACGAGCCAGAGTCAGGAGATTGAGCCTCCATTTGATGTTGAAACAGGACAAATAGAAGGGAATTATGGCCCTGAAGTCTCGGAATTGGAAGATTTAGCGCTGAAAATACAGGGACTTGGAAGGAATAAGGAGGATGAGGGCAAACAAGAGGTGAAACAAGAAGGTGGAGATACAGAATTGAATGATGAGTTCTGGGAGGAATTGTTGAACGAACAGATTGAAGAGGAGAAGGGCAGATCAGAGAGTAGGAAAGGAGGCGATGCTAATGATATTGGTTTATTGGCTGACAGACTAGGCTATCTTAGTTCCACTAGTCCCAAGTAGAAGAAACATATATGCATCTCTACTTTTTTCTCTTATCTTGGTTCTCTTATACCAATTTTAGCATTTAAAGGTCACATTTGACTGGACAAGTTTGTATTCAGGAAGGTCTAGACAAGGGTGTTGCTTTACCCCCAAGACATATTCTTCTGTCTATCCTTCTCTCACGATGCCGGTCTGTATATGAATGATCATTTGGTTATCTATTTTCTGAGTTACTTGTATATTAATTATTTGGTTATCTATTTTCCAAGTTACTCAAAATTTTCCATTGTTTTGAGCAGATCAGCAGGGTAAAGGAACATGCATCATTGACTCAGGAAGACATAGTTAGTCATCCAAAGGTGGTTTGTTATTTCTTAGGCATCATTTGCTGCATTAGGCTATCCACTAACTAACTAATATTGCTCGAACTGCTTTCATTGTTCTGACAGGTTCTTGAAGTATCTGGTTCTGACTAGAGATTAGTCGTGGCTCAAATAAACACAATTGCCTCAACATTTCTTCCTGTGTTTTCTGCAACCATGTAGGCAATCTTTCTTAGTTGAAGTCTACAGAGTGGATCAACCGTTTCTTGTGTCAGCAAGGCGACATGCAACTGCTGGTCTTTGACAACAGAAGGAAGGTTTGTTCTTTGTAACACATGGCTATTGCCGATTAGATTGTTCAACATTATGGTCATTTTCATATCTTGTCTTTCTGCTTATTCCAAATTGTTTGATAGTAATGAATTTGTTGGCTGGTTTCTACTGGCTTTCTGAACAATGAAACTTGC